CAGCAAGTGGGTTTTAGCCAGTGCCTTTTTTTTCTCAGGGACAGTCATCACAACCATCGGTGGGTGTCCAGCAGAACCATAAGGCCACTACATTTACAGTGAGGAACAGAAGTATTTGAACACCCTGCGATTTTGCAAGTTTTCCCACTTAGAAATCATGGAGGGGTCTGAAATTCACATTGTAGGTGCATTCCCACTCTGAGACACAGAATTTAAAAAGAAATTTCAGGAAATCACAGACTGAAAGGGACCCCAGGTAGATGCAGGAGAGAAGGATGGGGGAGAGTGGAGTGTCAGGTCCGCTCGGCGCGACCTGCCTCTCTTCCACCTTTCTCTCCTCTGTTCTCTTGACCTGCGGGATCTGCACCTCAGCTGTGTTACATTCGGTAATTAGCGACTCGTTTGTCGGTGTGCACAGCTGGGGTGCATCCCGATGATTACCTGCCTCCTTATTTATACCTCTGGCAGATGCTCCGTTGTCGCCAGAGGATTAACTATTTACCATACTTATCCTACATAACTCGCATACCCGGTAACAGACCTATTTTCGTGGTATGTATTATACGTCATTTTGTTTTTCACGCTGACAGTTCCTGTGTTGTGGATCGCATTTTGTACGTTGGTTCATTGTTTTGGTTCGTTGTTATACGTTTCTGGACATTCCATGCTGACAGTTCCTGTGCTGTGGATGTCCTTTTTCATTCGCCAATCCTCCTGATTAGTTGTCTGTTCCCCTGTCCGTTCTGATCCTCATCTTCTCCTGGTTCCTACCGTTAGCCTGTCCACTTCCCTGGTCATCCTGGTCTCCTCAGCTGTCTTTGCCCGGTCCTAGTTGTACGTATTCAGTGACTCTGTTGCTTTTTTTTTTGTGCATTTCCCACCATTAAACCTCCTTTTTTTTTAACTAGCACCTGGGTCGGCAATCTTGAGTCCAACCTCAGTTCTCCCTCACCCTCCTGGTGAGGGGGACCAACCTTAACATGGAGGCTGACTGTGGAGGAGAACTGGGGAAACTGCTGAGGGACTGTGGCTGCTGAAAGCTGATGAAGCTGCTCCTCTGGGCGGGTGATGACAGGAGGAACTGATGGCAGAACTCACCAAGGAGGTATTGGGTGGAGAATAGCAAGATACACCGGAGGAGTGGAAAGCAGTATAGTGGTGAGCTGGAGATAAACAGGTATGTCTCATGGAGCAAGCAGAGGCATTTGGCATGGCGTGTCTCTGGAGCAGGCAGCGGACTGAGAAAGACAAAGAAGACACACACACACACACACACACACACACACACACACACACACACACACCACCAACGAAGCAGGAAACAGGTAAACTGGAGCACACTTTGACACCCAGCATCTGTAAGCAGGTAAAGTAAACAGGTAGAATCACAAATAGGAGCTGGGGCAGACTTCTGGCAGTGCAGAAACAATGAACTGGCGACAAAGCACGCCAACGCCTGGCTTAAGTAGTGCTGGGCAGATTGGAAACAGCTGTGCCTCGTCTACTGGCACATGTGTGGGTGGAGTTGCTGGCTGAGGATGTAACAAAAGCTTCCACCTCTGTCCAGCTCCACTGAGAATGTCCAACTCCTGTATATTTCACATTCCAGCAGCAAGAGCAAAAGCTACACTTCTCAGAGGGCCTTAGAGCTAATTTTAGCAGAGTGAGACAGGTGGTGTTCGGGTCAAATTGACCCGTTTTAGATTTTTTCACTGAAGGAAAACTGACAAGAAAAAAAGCTGTTGGCCTTAAACTTTATGGCCTTAGCTTATTTTCACACAAAAGCCCACACAAAGGCAAACACACAGACACACACACACACACACTCTCTCTCTCTCAGCCACTCACAAGACCATTCAATGTTGCTACAGTGTCTTGATCAAAGTACTGAGAAAACACCTGCTCCTTATGCAAAGAAAATACATTTCGAAATATATTGTCAATATACGTATTTAGTGTTTCTAAAATATATTACAGCATATGCTGGATATGTTTTAATATATTGAATACATAAGGAACTGACGCTTTTCATATATTGAAAAATATATTCATACATTTTGATGTATGTAATTTTATAATCAACACTTAATATATGGAAATTTATGAGTAACAAATTATGGTGTACTGGATATATATTCACATTTATATTAGAGCATGTAGGCAACACATGTACACAATGAGGAAATATACATTATGTAACAATATACTGTATTTGTAAATATATAGCATGTGTGGTGTGTGTGTTTTCATGTATACACAGTGTCCAAAAGCATATGTTTAAAAAAAAAAAGAAAAAAGCACACACATGGGTAAGCAGTCAAGGAAACTTAGATACAAATCTATTTTCCATTTAAGTGACTAAAATACAGCACTTCAAAACCATCTTGTTAAACTAATTATTTGATCTTCAGCCATTGGTTCAACTACTGGAGAGGTTTAGAATCAGAATCAACTTTATTGGCCAGGTGTGGACACACGAGGAATTTGACTCTTGTACAGCAGCTCTCGATTCATATGTACATGTCCTTATGTAAGGCAGCAGTGGGCAAGTATCCAATGTAAGGCTGAGAACAGAAGTAAAGTAATGTGCAATCAAGCAAAGGAATGTGCATTAGGAATAAAAATAACGTACTATATACACACAGTCTGGATTCGACAGATTGATATGTACAAGGTACATTTACAGGTATTCTTTAGAACTCTATAGGTCACCTTTAAACAAGCTAATCACTCATTTAAACAAGGTCCAGAAAAGAGGAGAAAACATGTTATAAATTGGCCCATATATTCATTCATTCATTTTCTACCTCTTAATCCCTGAGCGGGGTCACGGGTGGGGCCGGAGCCAATCGGGCGAAGGCGGGGTACACCCTGGACAGGTCGCCAATCCATCGCAGGGCTAACACATAGACAAACAACCATACACACATGCACTCCTATGGGCAATTTAGAGACACCAATCAACCTAAGCCACATGTCTTTGGACTGTGGGAGGAAGCTGGAGTACCCGGAGAGAACCCACGCAAGCACGGGGAGAACATGCAAACTCCACACAGAAAGGTCCTAGGTGGGGCCCGAACCTGGAACCTTCGCGCTGTGAGGCAACGGCGCTAACCACTGTGCCACCGTGCTGCCTGGCCCATATATTTAGTCGGTTATGTTAAACAGTCCATCTTGTTTTTGCTTTACTTGGTGCCTTAATTCAGATTCTTGTGTTGACCGATTTTCTTATATCTTGGTCCCTGGATGGTGGTTTACAACAGCATCTGTGGAACAGAACAATAACATAATTTGTAATAAAAGTCAGGAGGAATTATAACAATATCCATAATACCTACATTAATCATAAGCTAGAGGACACCCTTAGGCCATGTCATAAGGTCAGCAAATTTGGCATGGTTCCTTCTATGGGGAACATGAATGTGCCAGTCAAATTTCATGGCAATCTGCCCAACTGACTGTTGTGTATCAGATTTTATATTATGACCTCTGATAATGAAGCCATCAAAACCCTAATAAAAACAGCTGATATACAACTATACTTGCAGCCCAGGAGTCTGTTGATCCCATGTTTTTAGACAATTCCAAACCCTGGATATGACAGCGATGGTCAATGCCCCCTCTTGATCTTTACAGATGCATGTGTTAATGTGTAGTTATTTATATTTTATTATGCTAATTGAATGCAGGCTTGTTACATGCTGCTTGGTGCTATGCAGATGACGGATCTAAAGACTGTATTGTCTTGTGAACTGTGGTTTCAGATTTGTTTACTGTTAGATTCATTTTCTGAGACTAAGTCAGTGCCAGTGTGTAACTACTATATTTCACCGATTTAGTTTTGAGGCAAGTAGTCTGTGGTTATATTATTTTCACAAAGAGGTTCTGCATTTAGCTGGGGGTTACACCAATGCAAATATATATGCCACTGGCTGTGGTAATCAGAGAGTACCCTGATGAGCTAGTATTTTATTTTAAGGTATTAACTTAATCCATAATGATGTGTCCTAAGAACCCTTTCTATACAATAATACGGAAACTGGGTGACTCAAACTACTTCTGCCAACGCTTGTGCTCAGAAGGCAATTTGTCTAACAATCAGTATAGCTATAAAAATAAGGAATACATGTAAAAGGAAAGCCTTTCACAGCTCTGAAAATATTGCACATCTTACCAAGTAAAGCTTGAAGATTTTTCCTCCCCATCAAGAGCCTGCCATCGCTCTGCTGTAGGATCGTTCTTATTGATCCCTCCAGTAAGGTTGGCCTTCAGGAGAGCATCAACACTAAAATGTTCCATTGCCAGCATTCATGCCATCAAATTGGCTGTGTTTTGTGCTTTTGCAGTCTCCCAACAATGAACTGAGACAGTGATGTCTCCATCATTCCCCAGTTTCACCTTATTAAATGAAAAATAAACAAAAGGAAATCACCATAAGCAACACAATGCTAAACTGCACGTTTAATTTCAAATAATATATTCATTGCAAAAATACTTACTTCTGAAGGCTTGGAAGGTGTCAGCTTCTTCCCCCACACTTCCAACCTCACGGACGCCGAGATCTTTGGTGGGATTATTCTTGGCGATAACCTTTATATCCACTAACTGGGGGACCTTTGTTTGGCACATTCAGGATATATTTTTGAACCATTTAATGGGAGAAATAGTAAAATGTTTCACAGCACTCAGGGTGGTCCTTTTAAAAATAATAAAAGGTATTGACTTTTTTGAGAAATATCACACTGAGAAACGTTATATCTCAGTGTCCCCAACTTTATAACTAAACTGGTCCAAAAAAAAAAAAAAAAAAACTGAAGCAGTTTGAAAGAGTAGCAGATCAGGTTGTTACCTTTGGTTTGCATTATTCATGAAAACTTACTGGGGAAGAGATACTGGCAGTGAGAGAGCAACTTTCAATCACTGTCGATACAGTTGTGAAAATATTCAGTAGACTTCTAGTCAGAGGACAACTGTATTACTCACAGGAGTTTACCAGAGTAGTAATAGGAACAGTTTCACTGTTTTGTTACAGAATGGACACAATCACTGTTTACTATTACATTATAATAGAGCAACAAGGTAACAAAACATGCTTTGCTGTCAGAAGACAGATTACTCAGTACACTGATTAAGGTAGAAAATGTAAGGGGCATGAAAAGAGTATTGCGTGGCAGGAAACAGATATTTGATGTGACAATGTTCAAAGAAACATGTATGTTATTAATCTGCCTCAATATGCATGTTTTTATACATGTATGCCTCCAAGATCCAGTGGGGAGAACTGAAAAGTTAAGGGCAAAGTAGGTGTTTGCTGGCAAGAAAAAAGTCAGTATTTTGCTTTTATGTATAATGCTATGTAGTTTCTTGGTCAAAGGGCACATTTCAAACTATGGACAATGTTCAAATTAAAACTAATCTGAAATCTGGCCCACAGACAAAGGTCACAGATTTTTATATACGTCTGTAGCTTGCCATTTTACTCGGTGTTACCTGGTCTAACTGGAGTTCCATAGTCATTAATCAGACCACAGTGAACAATGTAGATGTATGCACAGAATACATCTGTACAGGCAAATAGTTTGAAAGTGAGCACTCAATCATTAAAGTATAAAAAGAAAATATTTCTTCCTACCATGTTGACAAAATAACTAACAAGGCACCAGATTATACAACTTCTTCCCTGTGTAATGTCATACACACATATATATAAAAAAAATTCCACACTTGCCCCCCACTTTGGGGCGGTCTTGTATTCCTTCCTTCAAGCTCGGGTCTTCTACCAGAGGCCTGGGAGCTTGAGGGTCCTACACAGTATCTTAGCTGTTCCTAGGACTGCACTCTTCTGGACAGAGATCTCAGATGTTGTTCCTGGGATCTGTTGGAGCCACTCTCCCAGTTTGGGGGTCACAGCCCCCAGTGTTCCTATTACCACGAGGGCCACTTGTGCCTTCACCTTCCACATCTTTACCACATCCTCCTTATGCCAGAGGGGTTACATAAGGAGATTGTGGGGGATATATATATATATATTCCTTTATGAGATGTATGATGTACATCACACATTTACAAGCCTTCTTAGGGATCCTCATCCTTGCAGGTGTCTATGCAAATATAGTGAGATGACTGCTCATGCTAACTGATGAAAGAGAAATGAATGCATTTGTATCAATAAAACTATTACATGTAAAAACATAGTGCAGATTTTGTCTCCATTGCAACATTTTTCATTTTTATCTATAGCCATTACCTGGTGCATACATATATTGCAGTATATTGAAAAACAAAAGTGCTAGTTTTCAATATATGAAAATATTATTTAATATATTGCATTATATTATACAATACTGTGTATTGCAATATATTTTTGTTTCGTAAAGTGGAGCACAGCAGCAGAGGGGGTGAGTAGCTGTATGCTAAGACGAACAGTCACAGGCAGCGGGTGGAGAGATGAGGATGATGCAGCCGAAGGGATGGAGAGGATGACGCCCTGCACGCTAGAGGTGGAGATCCGGCGGACTGAGGTGACAACGGCGACGCACACAGGAAAAAGGGGGAAGGAAGACTGCTGCCGCCGTAAGTCGAGGAAAGGGAGCCGAACGCGAAGAGTAAACGCGGTCCTTAGTATCACGTAGGAGAGCCAAGGTAACGTGGAGCTGATTCACACACAGTGGTCTGGCTGGTGTCTTTCTGTGGCTTATTAATGCGTGTATGTTGATTATTGATGCGCCGCAGCTGTGAGCCACATCCAGGGAGCCAACACCTGCCGAGACAGGGAGAGAGGAACAAAGAGAGAGAGAGGTAGCGCCGAGCAGACCTGACAGTGTATGTCATTTCATCTACAATCGTCCAGCACTATGGACAAAATGTACACTGCTCAGCAGGCATTAGAGTTAATTTTAGCAGAGAGTGAGACAGGTAGTGGAGGGGAAGAAGAGGATGTCACAGATTCTGCAGAATATGAGGACAATACTGAAACAAATTCTGAATATGAGAGTGAATTTGAGGATGAGGGCTCAGAGCAGGCAGCAGAAAAAACTGCAATTCCCACTGCTGGAGGATCCTCACAGCCAACTATATCCAAGAATGGCCAGATTGAATGGTTTTCATCTCCGATCAGTCAAGCCCGCCACTCAGTTGCTAAGATAAAGATGGCACCAGGACCCACACAAATGGCTGTGAGACATGTTCGTGATATAGTGTCATCATTTGAACTGCTGATTCCTCACTCAGTCCAGAAAATCATTCGGGACATGACCAACCTTGAGGGAAGACGTGTTTTTGGGGAGCAGTGGAAAGAGATGGACATCATACATTTGCAAGCCTACTTTGGGATCCTCATCCTTGCAGGTGTCTACAGATCTAGAGGGGAGTCAACTCAAAGTCTTTGGGATGCTGAGACAGGAAGAGCGATTTTTGGAGCCACAATGTCACTGGAGACCTTCCAAACATTCTCCAGGGTTATCCGGTTTGATGATCGGGAATCGGAACCTGCTAGGCGGAGGAAGGACAAGTTGGCAGCCATCCGTACTGTGTGGGACAAGTGGGTGGAACGTCTTCCACTTCTCTACAACCCCGGGCCCAATGTGACTGTAGACGAACGGCTTGTGGGGTTTAGAGGCCGTTGCCCCTTCAGGCAGTATATGCCCTCCAAGCCAGCAAAATATGGAATAAAAATATGGACTGCCTGTGATGCGACATCATCTTATGCATGGAACATGCAAATTTATACAGGGAAGGCAGAGGGAGGAGCCCCTGAGAAAAACCAGGGGACACGGGTTGTTCTTGATTTGACGGAGAGCCTCAGTGGGCACAACATCACTTGTGATAATTTTTTCACTACATACAGCCTGGGACAGGAACTTCTCAAAAGAAAGCTGACAATGGTTGGCACAATTAGAAAAAACAGCACTGAGCTCCCACCTCAGCTTCTAATTGTAAAGAACAGGCCAGTCCATTCCTCCACCTTTGTGTTTACGGCCAACACTGCCCTCGTATCCTACATACCCAAAAAGGGCAAAAATGTGATGCTTATGAGCACTCTTCATAGGGATGGGAGAATCAGCAGCCAGGAGGACCGCAAGCCAGAGGTCATACTTGACTACAACGCCACCAAAGGAGGAGTTGACAATCTTGACAAGCTGCTATCCTGCTACAGCTGCCAAAGAAGAACATTACGGTGGCCACTTGTGATTTTATTCAACATCCTAGATGTTTCGGCATACAATGCCTTTGTAATCTGGATGGCACTTAACCCGGACTGGAAACAGAACAAGTTCCAAAGAAGACGTCTTTTTTTAGAGGAGCTAGGCAGGGCACTAGTGACACCACACATACAGAGGAGACAACATGTGCCCAGGAACCCAGCTTCTCTTGCCATCGTTAGGAGGTTACAGGAGGATCCTGCTGTCCCACCTGCAGTATGCACACGATCACAACCTCCAGCACCTGAAGTAAGTATCCTTGTGTTTGTTTTATATACAGTATGTATAGATGTATATACAGTATATGTGTATGTGAGAGAGAGATATGTAGAGTATTAGGAGACATAATGGGGGAAATAAATCCTGAACTAATAGTCATTTCATTATTCTAGATGGCAGCCACTGGCCAAAAGAGGAAGTGTTGCGAAGTGTATGGACCCTCAACAGCTTCCAAGACCCGGTTCACCTGCATCAACTGCAAAAAGTACATCTGTGGTTCACATACTCTGAAACTCTGTGCATCATGTGTTGTGTAGAAAGGCAGACCCATCCACACAGACAATCCAGTGTCAGAATTGTTTGAGAGATGTATTTTTCAGAGGTACTGCTTCTCAATGAGAGAGTAAAACATATTATATGTTGGTACTGTTCACCAATTGTTGTAAATCATTGTGTTGGAAAAATGTTTATCAAGGGACAGTAACATCAAGTGACCCACAGTATAATTATTATAGGTTCTGTACTTGCAAAGAGTAAACAGTAGATCTAGAATAGATACCATATGTATTTACTGATTGTATTTTGCTGCTGTGTGCTTACACCAACTCAGTTCTCATAAGCAGTCAGACTGCAGAGATACAGACATATCTGTTCAAGGAGCCAGCGATGATGCAGAACATGCCACGACTTGTGCCCTGTTCGGGTATTTTATACCCGCTTTCACTTTTCATCTAAAGAAAAAAGATACTAGCAATTATTTTTTCGAGCTCAAATTCAATGGCCTTGGCTCATTTTGTGTGAAGAGCATATATGAGAACAAATTTTCAATGACTGCACACTGTGCACCCCCGTCCCCAGCGGTTAGTTTCGCATAAAAGTATTTCAGTTTACGACCCTCATGCTTTGAGAGAGTGACAGTCAGAAGGTATGAAGAAATGTCTCCACTTCAAACATTTACATCTCTGTGCTCTCCTTTACAGCCAACACCTTGTCAGCCAGCGTTGTCCTTCACATTTCACAACCTATAGTGACTGTAAAGAAAAGGCTGACATTGAGGTAAGTGTGTGACGCTGTTGCAGGATACTGAATGTGAGACACTCCTGCTTTGGGAGAGAGAGAAACTAGGTGCTAAGTATAATTTCTTATCTTTTCATTATTCTAGGTTGCGGCCAGCCCCAGGCAACATAAGCGCTGTGGAGTGTGTGGACCCAAGAAGGACAGAAAAACAAAACATACCTGCATCAAGTGCAGGACATACATATGCAACACCCACTCAAGAAGGCTCTGCCCCTCATGTGATGTATAGGTTTGTGTGTGCCAAAGAAAGGCAAGAATGTTGTTCTGATGAGTACACTGCACAGGGATGGGGAAATCTGTGGCCAAAAACCACAGATCATGTGATGCAGGGGTGCCCACACTTTTTCACCTTGCAAGCTACTTTTCAAATTACCAAGTCAAAATCGACCTACACTAAAAATACTACACACGCATATGCACATGCACACACACAAAATATATGTATGAATGAGTGTCGTAGTTTTTATGAACGGTCTGAAAGTGCCGCTCCATATTTCCCTTCTTTGGAATAGTGATGGTAGATTGGTAGATCAAGCACACGCATTTATAGTTACTGTGTGTTCATCTTGTGCTGTGCAAACTGTCCTGAGGGTTTGAAATTACTGAGGTTCAAACAAAAATCAGCAGTTGTGAAAAATCTTGCTTCATTTGTAAATTTGTTGTTTTTTTAATCAATTGTCTAACAAAAAATTAGCATAACACAGTTTTAACCCTTATGTAATGTAGTCTAACAAAGGTAAAGGGCAAATGTAAACATCTGTTGATTATTAGAGTTGGTTATTGCATTGTTTTAGATTAGAATTCTTTGATTATGTTGAGTTACAAAGCCAAAAGATGATGCGGGTAAATAATATCCACGGACATCACCAGTGTAAACTAAACATTTAACAGGACACCAGGGTTAACCAGTGCATTTTAAAGACTGTACTCCCCAAATATTACCAACATGTGAACATTCCCACCCGGGGCAAGAACAGTCTAGATCATGTTTACAGTAACATATGTGGTGCATACAGGGCCGCACCCCACCCCCACCTTGGACACTCGGACCACATTTCTTTGTTCCTATATCCAGTTTACAGACAAAGACTGAAACAAACAAACCCTGTCACCAAACAAATTAAACTCTGGACCCCAGAGACTGAAGGCACACTGCAGGACTGTTTCGCCCTGACAGACTGGGATGTGTTTAAAGCTGCAGCCACCTCAGAGGACTTTTCTGTCAGCGTACAGGATTATGCTGAGAATGTGACCGGGCACATTAGCACCTGTATCGACAACATTGTGCCCACCATACAAGTCAGGAGGTTTCCCAACCAGAAGCCCTGGATAAACAGTCAGGTACACCACATGCTGCGTGCTTGCTCTCATGCATTCAGATCAGGCGATGAGACAGAGTATAAAGCTGCAAAGTACAGACTGAGGAAAGCCATCACAGCGGCCA